AAATTGTGGCACCAGCGCGAGGTTGGCTACTGCGGGCCAGAACGAGTACAACCAGCAGCGGTGTACACGTACATGGCCCGCAGTAGTCAACCTCGCCCATACAACAAACATACACTGTGTTAGAGGGCTAATAACAACTGGGGGCCATTGACACAACAAGCAGCTTTGGTACACACTGACATGGCACGCAGTAGCCAACCTCACCCACCAGGGAAATCAGAAAACAATGTGGCACCAGCGCGAGGTTGGCTACTGCGGGCCAGATCGACAACAACCAGCAGCGATATACACTTACATGGCCCGCAGTAGTCAACCTCGCCCATACAGGCAGACATACACTGCGTTAGAGGGCTACAGCGGGCCATTGACACAACAAGCAGCTCCGGTACACACTGACATGGCACGCAGTAGGCAACCTCACCCACCTGGGAAATCCGAAAAAAATGTGGCACCTGCGCGAAGTTGGCTACTGCGGGCCAGATCGACAACAACCAGCAGCGGTGTACACTTACATGGCCCGCAGTAGACAACCTCGCCCGTACAGGCAGACATACACTGCGTTAGAGGGCGGTTGGCTACTGCGGGTCATTGACACAACAACCAGCTTCGGTACAGACTGACATGGCACCCAGTAGCCAACCTCACCCACCTGGCCGCTCATAAAAAAATGTGGCACCAACGCGAGGTTGGCTACTGCGGGCCAGATCGACAACAACCAGCAGCGGTGTACACTTACATGGCCCGCAATAGTCAACCTCGCCCATGCAGGCATACATACGGGGCCTTAGAAGGCGGTTGGCTACTCCAAGCCATTAACACAAGAAGCAACTTCGGTACAAACTGACATGGCACGCAGTAGTCAACCTCACCCACCTGAGAAATCATGAAAAAATATGGCACCAGCGCGAGGTTGGCTACTGCGGGCCAGATCGACAACAACCAACAGCGGTGTACACTTACATGGCCCGGCGTAGTCAACCTCGCCCATAGAGGCTAAACTACAGTGCGTTAGAGGGTCGTTGGCTACTGCGGGCCATCAGGACAACAACTAGCGTCGGCAAACACTGACATCGCACCCAATAGTCAACCTCACCCTGCTGGGAAAAAAAAACAGAATGTTGATTGCGAGAGGTTGACTACTAAGGGCCAGAATGAGTACAACCAGCAGCGGTGTACACTTACATGGCCCACAGTAGTCAACCTGTCGCAGAGATGCATACATACACTGGACAGACAGAGAGGTTGGTTACCGCGGGGCGATGGGACAACAACCACCAATGGTACACACAGTCATGGCATGCAGTAGTATACCTATTGCAGCGTGGAAAACAACACTCTGCTTTATCGACACGTTCACCAGTCAGCGATGCAACACGATGCCAAACGTGACATGCGAGACCAGAATTTGCCTCCAAGGGGGACAACTTCGTGCTGTCGGACAGGTAGGCATGCATACACACAGATAGAAAAAGAGAGAGAGAGAGA